ACAACTGCAAGGGTTTCAAGCTCATACGAGTGATACCTATTCTCGGCCCCTTGTGTGAGCCCACTGAAATAAGCAACCACTCGCCTGTGGCCACCCTCGTGCACTTGCAGCAAAATAGCCCCGTATCCGACGGAACTCGCGTCCGTATGGACTTCAATCGGCAAGGACGGGTCATATACGGCGAGAACAGGCTCGACAGTTAGGCATTCAATTAGGTCATTATGCGCAGTCTGTTGTTCCTTGCCCCACTTAAATTCAACCCCCTTTTTAGTTAGAGCTGTTATACAGGCAGACCTTTGAGCAAAATTTGGTATATATCTGCGAATGGCCTGTTCACCCTCTTCTGTTCTGCCCACCCAGCAAGCTGCCTTTTATAGGGGCAGATTTGTCTTCATATCTTCTCCTCCAATAATATATATATATATACGCTTCGACCTGAGTACCTTCTCTGTTTTATCGTCGGTTAAAAACAAGATTAACAAATACTCAAAATAAACGAAAACTGGCGAACACAAAGCGTATACAAGGCATCTGGACGCGTGTATCTAGTTTGTGAGTTAGTTCGCGGCATCTGGCGTTGGCCCTTTAGAAAGGTGTCTCTTTTAGAAAAGAGCTCTTTTCTTGAAGGTCCCCAGGTCGTATCGGCCCGGAAAAATCGCCGGTGGTATGTAGTGGAGTAAGAAAGTTGATATAAATGAATATTCATTGTAAGTTATAGACTTTGATTATATACCGTTTAACGTGGTAGAGCCAGCCAGCTGCAGTTATATTAGAAGTATAGTTGTAGCACGAATGGGTCGGCTCGACCGGGGAAGGACCACGCTCTCACAGAATACCAGCGTGAAATAGTAGCTTAATGCTGCTGTATTTCGTATGGTGAGTGTAGAGAACCGGAGACCCTTTTTAACGAGGCATTCCATCTTAGTTCTCACGGGTGACAACGCATCTGCATTTTGATTCGTAATAAAGGATAGATGTAGATGCCTATGGGCCACAGCAACCACTTACAATTAGGTGGACTGTGTGCCCGTTTGTCACCCTATCCTATAAAAAAAATACCTGTCAAAGGTTATAGAGCAGAAATAAACAGTCCGTCTCACAAAGCTGCCGTGTTATTTCAACGTCCCCGCACCTCACCTCATGGAGACCCTGCCATGCGCGGGCGTTTTGGGTCCGCTGTGGCGTACGTGATATAATTTGCAGCGCATGCACATTTGCGAACTGGACTTTTGCCATGGTGTCAATAGGAAGGCTTTGTAGGAAGGTCTTATTACCAACGGAGGTGCGAACAAGTACGATGGAAATTTTTTATATGTGTTATTCTCTCTCATTGTTATCGCGCAAAGTGCCGTGGAAACCAATAGTGCAAAGGTTATACAGCTCACCTGGATTAACGACATATTGCTCTCGACGGTGCTGGCAATACTAGTTGCAGCGTCTGGCTACCTAGCTTATCGGCAATACAGACGATGCCATAAAAATTTAATTCAAAGAGAGATACGTGCTGACGTATACCGGAGACCAAAAACATTTTTACCAAGTGGAATACATACTTATTAAGACAATATTATCATTAATGGTACAGGTGGTGAAATCCGTTCTCAAGGATATACTTATTTAATGCTTTTTGCGCCAGATGGATCCCTCTATGAAAAAAATTTTATTTGTTTGATAAACTTCCTTGTAAATCAAATGGAATACCTGAAATGTGGCAACTTGACCACATTTTTTTAAAGTTTTTGATATACTTATAACCCAGACAGACTTCTTTAACTAAAAGATACCAGCACCTTATAAAAAACGATGTAGGAGTTACTAAGTTTTATTTTTGTTAGAATTAGATAACGATCGAGCTGCTCGGAGTTACGGCGTTTTAAAACAATATTGCTTAACAAATATTTTTACATTTAATACTATTTTTTTAATTTTTAGATATATTTCATTATGTTGAAAAACACACTAGCAATGAAAATACTTCAAAATGTTTACGAGGACCCGCCGAAAGAGCCCATCGCACTAAAATATTCGAAAATTATACCAAAATCGTATGTGTTACAGAAAGATTCCTCTTTATTGCAAATGAGACAGAAAAAAAATGAACCGACGAAAAAAGGTGTCGAGGTAGACCGAGACTAACTTTCGAAGACCATGTGAGCAAATTGCTCGAAGAGGGGAGGGTCAAGAGTACTCGGATACCTAGACGTGCATGTATGAAGAAGTTAATGAACCTGAAAGAAGCGAAAGAGGTATGTAAGGATCGTGACACTTGGCGATCTGTTCTCTCTGGCTACCCCGTTAGGGATTGTGCGTGAAGATAAGTAAGTAAGTAAGTAAGACTGATACGCTGAGCTACAGTGGCAGTGCAAAAGACATTATAATTTGCCATGACTGATCTTTGCATTTCTTTTCTTTATGTGATCCGATTGTATGGTCGACAACAGCCGAATCCACTACGAACGTAGCAATGGAACAAGGCATTTTGACTGAATCTGAATTATTGGAAAAAAATTGACGATAGGTGGAAATTTGTTGAATCTAGGAGTGAGAGAAATATCAAAGACAGGTGCAACTGTAAGTTGAGCTTAAAAGGTGGTACAAAGTTACAATGTGGTAAAATATCTGATGAGGAAAGAAAACAATGCTTCGAAAAGTTTTGGAACATGACTTGGAAAGAAAAGAAAATATATATTAAAATGTTATCCATTTGTAAATCCAAACAACGAGAAAGGTGTGCAGGGTCATCATCCAGACATCATAATTCTGTCGAATTGTATCTTTCCGATAGCAAAGGCAATAGGTATCGGGTATGCAAAAAAATGTTCCTTAACAGTTTAAGTGTCGGTGAATGGGTCATAAAAAATGGATCTTACAAGACGAACCAAAACCTATACCAAAGAATAATGTTAAAGAAGACTCCTACAAACAATTACGAAAGTTTTTTGAACCATTACCAAAACTAGAATCCTATTATTGTCGCAAAGATACTTCAAAACAAAGGCGTCTCCTTCGAATGGTCACAAAATTGCAAAGATTCTTTTCAAGCTCTAACATCAGCACTTATTTTATAATACCCGGACTTCTCGGACAGCAACGAATTCATTTTGCAAACAGACGCCTCAGGTTTCGCAGTTGGGGCGGTTTTATGCAATAAAGATTTAAGACCCATTGCATATTGTAATCATTAATAAAATAACATTTAGATTACATAATACATATAAGGTACGCTAAGGTACTGATTGAAAGGGTCATGAAAGAAACTGATGAAAAAATTTGGGATGTGCAAGCGGGATTTAGAAAGGGAATGGGATGTACAGATCAAGTCTTTTCCATGCGCATGATCGCGGAGAAATTTCTGGCCAAAAACCAAAAGGTTTTTTGTGCGTTCATGGACTTGGAAAAGGCCTATGACAGAGTGGACAGGGATTTGCTATGGCAAACACTGAACTCATTTGGGTTGAGCGCTGGCTTGATACAGTCATTGGAGTCTCTTTATAGGGACTCTAGTGCTTGTGTTAGGATCAACGGGGTCTACTCGGACTGGTTTGACATCCATAAAGGTGTCAGACAGGGCTGTGTGGCTTCCCCGTGGCTGTTCAACCTATTTATGGACAGGTGTTTGCAAAATTTGAAAGTTGAAGAATGCGGATTAAGAATGGGTGAGTTAACCGTCAAATGCCTTTTGTACGCCGATGATCAAGTCACTCTTGCGTCGTCGGCGGCCGAGTTGCAAATGATGGTTACATTAATGAACGGATCATTAAAAGAGAGGGGTATGAAAGTGAACGCAAGTAAGACGAAGGTTATGGTTTTTGAAAGAGAAGAAAGTAAAACGATTTGTGAAATAAGAATAGAAGGGGAGTTGATCAAGCAAGTAGATGAGTTTGTATATTTGGGCTGCGTATTTAGCAGGGATGGGAGATATGATAAGGATATAGAACAACGAGTGAATGCGGGAAATAGAGTAAATGGGGCCTTGCACTCTATTGTGATGAGTCAAAATGTGTCGAAAAAGGCACGTATGGCAATTCACAATGCTGTGTTGATTCCTACTTTAACGTATGGTAGTGAAAGTTGGGTGTGGCAGAAGAAGTACGAGAGTAGAATAAACGCAGTAGAAATGCGTTCGTTAAGGAGTATGTTAGGGCTGAATCTGAATGACAGGGTAAGAAATTGTGTAATACGAGAAGAGTGTGGTTTGCAAGATGATGTGACCAGGATTAAGAAAGGAATGCTTCGGTGGTTTGGTCATGTGGAAAGAATGAATGAGGAAAGAGTGACAAAGAAAATTTATGTTGCAGAAGTGAATGGCGGAGTCGGAAAGGGACGTCCTAGGCGAAAATTTATCGACCAAATTGGCGATTTATTGGAAACGGGCCAAATTAGGAGTACCCTTAACCGACGAGCATGTATGCGTAGGTGTATGGATGTGAAGGAGGCGAGAGAGGTGTGTCAGGATCGTGCCAAATGGAAATCTGTAGTCTCTGCCTACCCCTCTGGGTGACAGGCGTGAGTGTTTATGTATGTATGTGTATGTAATACATATAAAAATAACATTAAGTGTCCTTTTATGTGTGTATGTGTAATCTAGGTACCATAGTAAGATTATACTTAGCTTTTGTTGTGCGACAACTGTTTACTTTAGTTGCAAATCTTAAAGAGTTTAAAGTCTCATTGAAACACTCATCAAATTGGTTGAAATTGACCAACATTAGAGTTACTTTTACGGATTTTATCGCGTTTATTTTTACTTTTTATTTACTTTTATTTTTAATTCCCGACGTTTCGGGCGCTTTCCAGCACCCATGGTCACGGGGAACGCACACATGGAAACGTCGGGAATTAAAAATAAAACTAAATAAAAAGTAAAAATAAACGAGATAAAATCCGTAAAAGTAGTTTTAATCATGTATAGTGTTCGCGTAAATATAAGAAATCACAACATTAGAGTTTTAGAATTGCCGCCAAGACTAGGCATCAACAGGTGGGTTAATTTAGAATTTCTATACGGTATGTGGGATTGATTTGTCTGTAGTGATAGGATGACTGGAGAGTTCAGATAAAGATCTATTAATATGTTTTGTTTCATCCATTCTTTGTGTTGTTTTTCCACTCTCTGATCCTGCTAAATCCACCAAGTTTAAATTACTGGTGAACTTTTCCTTGCGCTTCTCGTTAATTGCTGCTATCTTAATTTGTGCCACAGAATGAGACCTGGAGCTTCGTTCATTGTTTAATGTTGCGGCAATTTGTCTATTACGTTGGGCAAATATCAATAACACGATGAAGTCATGAGAACTTTTCACTTCTTCTTCTCTCAAATTTGACACATAAACATCATTTCCTTTTGAATTCACCATTTTTATATCATGACTTTCTTGATCCTTGCTTGAATCCAGCAAATCATATGTGACTCATTGTATATTTCCAAAAATGTTGCTTTTATAGTTACTTCCCAACCCATTGTTTTCAAGTCTTCCATGCAGTTAAATATCATGTCAATTGAACGTGGTACAATACCATAATTCTCTTTACCACAACCTCCTTCCATTGTATATGTTTTACCAGAACCTGTTTGACCATATGCAAAGATACAAACATTATACCCATCTAAAGCGGACTGCACCATAGATGACACTTCGACAAAAACATCTTCTTGTGAAGAATATGGTGTAAAAATGCCGTCAAATGTGAATGAATGTTGGGATTTACCTTTTCTGGCAGAATTTAACAATTCAATCTTTTCAACCTCTATGGAACAAGCATCTCACACATTTAGGTTGAACAAAGGCTTCGATGCCTCTGACTCAAGCGGTGGCCTTATTCTACAGTAAACTCGTATATTTCCTTTCAAATCCTGAACAGTATTCCTCAAGTCCCTTTGGTCTTTATACATACCAGTCAATATATTTTGTAATGCCTCATATTCGCTTTTATATTTAGTTATGCTTTCTTGTACTTCTTTGTAATCAAGCTGTAGTTTGTCATATTCAATTGATACTTTTTTCCTCTCTCCTCTGACTCCTAGACAAATCATCAAACTCAGACTGGAGCTTGTCCAAATCTAATGACTTTTGCTTCAGGCTACTGGTAACCTCGTCTAATACTTTGGTTTTACGTTGAAGTTCATCATTTTCATGCTTTAATATTTCTAAATCTATTTTTAGACTTTGAAGTTCTGAAGTCTTCTCTTTCAAATCTTTATGAGCATTAAGTAATTTTTATTTTAAAATGTCCTTCTCAGTAGCACTAGTCTGGAATGTTTCTTTGATTTTTTCGTAGTCATCTAATACTTCAACATGTCTGTCTTTTAAATCATTAAATTCTGATTTAATTGCTTTATGTTTTTGTCATTAAATCTGGCTTTGTAGTCATAAGGTGGAATCTTTGGAGCTACACTCCAGGTTTTTTTTCAGTTTTAACAGATTTTACGGGTACTGTTGTTGCTGATGGTGCTGTAGCAGATCTTTTTAAACGTTGTGCGGGTACTGTTGTGACTGTCCCACTTCGCAGAGGTTTTGTATGATTTAAAAGAAGACTTTTTTTATCAGCATCACTAAGTCCATCAGCTAATGTCCTAGAAAAAGGCCTACCATTTAAAGGACCAGGCCTATTTTCTTTTGTAGCAAAAGGTAATTTAGGAATTCTCGACATCTTAAATTCCAACAACATACACCATGTAAGTACACAAAACTAACAATCAATTCAAAACGTATGTCAAATCAAACGTCCATTTTTCGATTCGATGTGCTAGTAGACCATTAAACAAAGCAGAAAAAAACTATCCTACAATTCAAAAAGAATTGGTCACTGTCGTTTGGGGTATTAAATATTTGAAACCTTACCTGTTTGAGCTATTATGACAGACCACAAACCTTTGATATATGTTTTCGGAATGAAAGACCCTTCGAGTTTTGAAATTTCGTTTAGAATTAGAACAATATGATTTTAATATCGTATATGTTAAGGGAAAAGACAATGTGATAGCCGATGCTTTATCAAGAATTATCATAATATCTGATGAATTAAAAGCGATAAATGAGAGTAGTACGGTTGCAGTCATGACTAGAAACCAAAAGAGGCAAATGAAAAATAACAATAAGACAAATAGTAGAGAAAATAATATTCCTAATGGCCTGATCAACCGAGAGTCGTGGAGTTATTACGAATACCAAATAATTCTTGTGAGATGAAATTAGGAAAGGAAAGGAAATATAGTAAATGACTTAAAAAATAAAAATGAGATTGATTTAGAGTCAAAATGCTTTAGCTATGCGGAAAGGAGACAAATAATTTACATTAACCGTGATTTTAGCTTACATTTTCCGCGAGCCGAATTTGTAGCTAAATTGAGCAAGTTCTGTAAAAAAATTAATGTTAAAGAAATATGCATATTAAAAACGGAAGATAACGAGCTTAATAAAAGAAGTAAAGATTTAGCCGGCCCACGAATTTGTATTTTGAGAGGTATTAAAAGAATATGTGACGAAATCGAGAAATCATTTATTATTAATGATTTCCATTTATTGCCCACAAGTGGACATGCAGGTATTAAAAGAACTATAAATAATATAAGGCGACTTTATTATTGGCCAGGGATAGAGAAAGATGTAAAGGAATTCATTGGTAAGTGTGAAAAGTGTCAAACAATGAAACACTCACGGCATGTCATAGAGCCTTTGGTGATAACAACTACGGCTCATTCAGCTTTCGAAAAAGTGTTCTTAAATGTGGTAGGAACCTTAGATCGTGATGTAGAAGATAACAAATACATTTTAACCATTCAGTGCGAATTATCTAAATTTACAGAAGCATATCCACTCAAAAATAAAGAAACTGTCACTATTGCTAGAACATTTGTTAATAATTTTATTTTAAGATTTGGTGTACCGAAAATAATAGCGACGGATAGGGGTAGTGAATTCATATCCTCAACTATGACTGAAATATGTACCTAAGTTATTACAAATTGAAAAAGTAAACCTATCCCCCAAAGATGATACAGGATATCATCACGAGTCTATTGGTGCCCTTGAAAATTCTCACAAGCATTTAGGATAATTTTTGCGAATTATGTGTGATAAATATCCTGACACATTAAATTAACTGGAGTTATTGGATTCCATATTGGTGTTTTAGCTATAATAATACGATGCATTCTTCAACGAAATATACGCTTTACGAACTTGACTTTGGTAAACCAAGCGAGCTTCCTTGTAGAATAAGTAGTGGTATAGAACCATTGTATAATCCTGATGACTATAACTTGGAATTAAAGTATCGATTACAAGTTGCACAAAATGATGCACGTGAAAACTTGTTAAACACTAAAGAACTCAGAAAACATGTGTATGTCAAAAAAGTGAACTCAGTGAATTACCTAAAAGGTAATTTAATACTTATTAAAAACGAAAATTGTAGTAAGTTAGATAAGTTATACGACGGTCCATTTGAAGTGTTAGAGGATAAGGAACCTAATGTAGTAGTATTAAGAAACTCTAAGCTAGACATTGTGCATAAGAATAGGACAAAACGTTTTGTACTCAAACTAATTTTAATTATTAAAATGTCTGTAAGTAATATATTTTTAATTAATAAAATTAATTACACTTCAATGTAATTGCTAAATTACTAATAGAATAATGTTAAGTAATAGATGTGAGTTTTTAGTTTTATAATGAAACTTAGTAATGTGGAAAATATTATGAATTTAATGAGTATACTTGTATAAGTTCCTATTTCAAAAAAAAAAAATAATCTTCGATTGTATTTTTTTTATTTTAGCCCGGTAGGTGTAGTGGAGTAAGAAAGTTAATATAAATAAATATTCATTGTAGGTCATAGAGCAGAAATCACTCACCTTCTATATATACAAGTACGCTGGACTGGCTATACGCCGTGACATCATGAGGCAATTTGATTTGCGCCGTTTTGGCGCTCCACGGAACTAATAATAGGGATTATAAAGTAAGAGAAAATATATCGATAAAAATTCTGTACCCTAACTATACCTAAATAAATAGAATGGACTCTATGGATAGAAGAACTCTACCCGTAACGTCCATTCTATTTATGTCTCATATTAATATAATGCCATTATCATTCATCGTCCTTAAAGCCCTTCACAAGTCCACTGCTGAACATAGGCCTCCCCCAAGGAATGCCACGGTCCTGAGTCACCTGCATCCATCAACTTCCTGTATCTTACCAGATTTTCACTCCATCTTGTGGGGGAACTTCCGACACTTTACCTGCAGGTACGAGGCTGCCACTCGAGCACCCTTTTTCCCTATCGGTAGCTTTTTAGAGGCCAATTTGGCCTTCTCTTCCAAGTGACCACGAAACTGCACGTCACTCGATATGTCGACTCCGAGGATTCCGATACTGGCTAAGGCAACAAGGAGAGTGCCTTGAAACTGAAGAGATACGACAAAGGGGTTCTTTTGAACGGTTAACGCGGAAACTTGTGTTTTCTGGGGATTGAACTGGACTATATTTAGTAGCCCCCAATCCGAGACTCTGTTCAGCAAGGACTCGACTTCAGACACAAGTTTGTCCCGGCACTTGGAGACGTTTTCCCGAGAAATATTGGCTCGGTCGGTGTAAAGAGCATCACCAGTGCTGTCATCTGCATAGCTATGAATGTTACGGGTTTGCAACATATCATTGATATGCAGAAGAAACAGCGTTGGCGATAGCACGCAGCCTTGTGGAACACCAGCATTAATAGGCTTGCAATCGGAGCTTGCACCGTCTACAACGACCTTGATGCTCCGATCTGCAAGAAAGCTGGTGATCCAATCGCACAATTTCTCGGGAAGCCCATAGGAAGGGAGCTTCGAAAGAAGCGCTTTGTGCCAAACCCGATCGATGGCCTTAGCAATGTCCAAACTAACGGCCAGTGCCTCCCCCTTGGACTCTACTGCCTCCGCCCATCTGTGAGTTAGGTAGACCAGCAGATCACCAGCTGACCGACCACGGCGAAAACCATATTGGCGGTCACTAATTAGCTGGTGATCCTCAAGGTACCTCATGAGCTGGCAGTTTACAATGGACTCCATTGTTTTGGAGAACAAAGAGGTGATGGCGATAGGCCGGTAGTTGGACGGGTCTGAGCGGTCGCCTGTTTTAGGGATCGGGTCGACGAAAGCCGTCTTCCATGATTTTGGGACTACGCCTAGGGAGTAGGAGTACCGGAAAAGACGCGTTAAAACTGGTGCCAATTCTGGAGCACACGTCCTCAGCACAATTGAGGGGATTCCGTCAGGCCCACTCGACTTGTGGATGTCCAGGGAGAGGAGTGCTTTGCGAACCGAGCGCTGTGTGAACTGCACTTCCGGCATGGAGCACTCACACCGCG